AAGGCACGGGGGGAGGGGAGTAGAGAGAAGGGGAGACTCTATTCTAATTGAAATAGTTTCTGAGCTCTGTCATCATGACAGCCTAGGCGTTTCACATCGTTGCCAGAAACAAATCCAGCCCTCCAGTAATCAGAGAATCCCACGTGTCTGTTTCATGGGGCGGAGGCGGAAGAGGAGCGGGGACAAAGAAAGTTGGTTTCTGGCAGCAAAGAAGAACATTGACCCAGTTCTGAGTATATCCCAGTACACACATGGGGATGGGCACTTTTCTTTCTTCTGCATAAGATACTCCGCAAACCAGTTAATACTTCCATGCATTGATCTCAGGACTGTTTGACTTGCAGCTCTAGGGGAACTTTTCACATAGCGGATTTTTCTCCAGAACTCCAAGGGAGGGAAAAGACAGGAAGAACTAATGAGTGAGCAGACTGACTGTCTGCATTTCTATCCAAGGAGGTATGCATGGCTGATGGCTGAGATTGGAACTGGATGTGTGGAAGAACATAGAATTGGTAGACTCAGGTTAAGTTCTTGCTTTTCCCTTCCTTCTTAACATGTAGTGACAGTGATATGTGACACACTGTCATTGTGTTATGTTCTTCTCCATCCCTGGAGGGATGTCCTGTGACACCAGCAGCCCTCTAATACAATGCTCATTTGTCCATCTAGCTAGCCCAATTTTGTCTGCTCTTGACTGGCATCAGTTCTCTGTTTTTGTTGCAGCCTAATATTATTTGTCACATCTTATTTCATCATAAAGCCTTCTTAGACTAGCAATCTAAATTGAAGGTAATGGGCACTAACATTTTAAATGCCTACAGTAGGTTTGTGCTCGATCTGACCATCATCCCATGCAAGGCATTTCATTTCTCAGAGAGAAACCATGGAAATACCATCCATTGGCTGGTAGGAAGCACCTTGCCACAATTACATCTCTCATAGTAAACTACAGCCAAAAAATAAACAGTGGTGACCATTCAGTAGCATCTATAAGTAGTTTGAAACTCATAGAATAATTCCTTCTGAATTAGAAAAACAAGTAGATATATGGCTGGGTTTGCTACACTCTTTGTTCAATGAGTCAATGGTATTATATATTAAGTCAACTATATTTTGAAAGCCTTCTGGTTAGACCAAACTTCTGATTTTGTGGAAGATACACTGTTTATATTCCAAAATGAGCAAAGGAATATGAAATTCAGACATTAAAAAATTGTGTCAGCATTTTCTTGAAGGAATTCAGTGCTCATGATATATTGAACAAACTGCCCAAAGCTCTGAAATGACAAAGAACATGATGTGTTTGAAACATCACTGAATAATACAAGCTGCCCAGGAGAACAATGCTGTAGTCCTATTAGCTTTTGATGATTCGGAAATCACTGGCTAAGCTTGTAGCCTAGGAGAGGCACATAGCATTTTAGTACTTAACAGATGTAATGAGAATGTTATAATATTTATATCCGGAAATCAGTCTAATAGCTGAAAACCAATTGCTAAGCATAAATCCACGTGGGTTCACTTTCTTTTCTTAAAAGATATAAAGATTATGGTTTTCCCAATTGCTCATAATGTAATAGCTTATGATCCTAACAGGTCATAATCCGCCATTTGGTTATGTGACCAGTGATTATCCGATATCCAATATAGCATACCATTCCATGATAAAGATTCAGATATACAGTGTTACATTTTCAGTAGTTAATCTGAATTAATCTGACACCATTTGGAGAGGAATCAACAGAAGCACATTACCATGTTTTGTTGTATCACAACGGAGCCCATGTAACACCTTTCAGATTGTAAAGTATGGGCAGCAAAAAAGGCAATGTTTCTCTTCTCTTCTCCTTTCTTCCAACCACGAATAAATCACCCACAAATGCTGGAGACCATGGATTCCCAGTATTCAATAGAGAACTAAGAGTGCATGTGCACTATAGAATCAATACAATTTGATAGTGCCTTGGCTAAATGCTGTGAAATAATGGGGTTTGTAGTTTGATGATACACCAGTCCTCTTTGACAAAGAAGGGAAATGACCTTATAAAACTACAACTCCCATTATTCTAGAGCACTGAGCCATGGAAGTTCGAGTGATGTCAAACTATACTGATACTGCAGTATAGATTTTTGTTGAAACTGTAGAATAAGAAAAGAAAGCATTGGATATGATGAGAAATAGACATCAGACCCATAAAACAGCAGAGTTTAGATCTCACTTCTCAGCTGGAAATCTATTAATATTTAATGGGAAAGACCCATGATTACTATATGTTGCCATTATATTTTCAAGCTTATCGCCACAGGTGTTAAATGTTGCAAAAAAATGGCTAATCCCTTGCTCTGTTTGTGTCTGTTTACTACCGCCCTCTTTTGGAGAGCAACAGGACTGCCCCTGTTTCTATTACATGCTCTTTGTACAAAGACTCCTTTTTCAGATTACAATCATGGTTTTTGTACAAAGAGTAAAATTCAGTCACACGGTGAATGGCAGAACATGGAAAGCATAGGACTAGAAGGTGCATATTATTTTACAGTCAATTCTTATGCTGTGACTTACTGAGATGCCAAAATCAGTCATCCTGATGTTTGGGAATTTATGAGCGGAATATAACTCTCAGTGAAGGAGGTCTTGTGAGTCAGAACTATTCCATGAACAACAGACATAAAATATATAGCCCAAGTGAGAATGCATGCTATAAAGGAAGAGGTTTGCTGCCAATTCCAAAATCACCAATGCTGCCTATGTGTTCTGTCGAGTCATAGGAGTGAACCAATGGAGCTGGCAAATGTACCATTGCTCATAGTTTGGGAAAATATATCTTTGTTCTTGATAGAATCATAGAATCATATATTTGGAAGAGACCTCATGGGCCATTCAGTCCAAACCCCTGCCAAGAAGCAGGAAAATTGCATTCAAAGCACCCCCGAAAGATGGCCATCCAGCCTCTGTTTAAAGGCTTCCAAAGAAGGAGCCTCCACCATACTCTGGACAGAAAGTTCCATTGCTGAACAGCTCTCACAGTCAGGAGGTTCTTCCTAATGTTCAGATGGAATCTCCTTTCTTGTAGTTTGAAGCCATTGTTCCACGTCCTCATCTCCAGGGCAGCAGAAAACAAGCTTGCTCCCTCCTCCCTGTGACTTCCACTCACAAATGATTGATCTCTTTTAGGATGAGCCCGTTATAGGATAGTGTCAATGCCTATAGCAGGCCACAGTACATAGGTGGTAAACATTTTATCTGCTAGGTATGTCTGCCTTACATAATTGCTCAACCACAGTCAACACCAATGGACTTTGAAAAGGGGCATGGAGGAATTGACATCATAAAGAGAGCTGGGAGCTGCTCTAGGTTACATAGCTAATGCCACCAGTGGAGCAATAGCCATGTTGGAAAGGAATGACTATTACTGAAAGTCAGGGTTTTGAAGACAAGGGAGGATAGGTACTTTTGCTTAGCTTGATAGAGTTTTATAGTATCTTCTCATGCTCTGAGTTCAGTTGAGGTTTAATGCTACAAGAGCCCCATCTGCATCTGGTCTGGCAATCTTCGTAGTGGAAATTCATCTCTCAGAACTACCTGCCTAAGAAATCCCAGGAAAGTTAGTAGAGTCTCAGATAATATGCTGAGAACACAGAAATGCTGGACCACTCTAACAACCACCGTGTCAGAGAAGCCATTGAAATCCACAAGCATGTGGACAATTTCAACAGAAAGGAGAAAACCATGAAAATGAACAAAATCTGGCTACCAGTATTAAAAAAAACTCTAAAATTACAACAGCAAAACAACATAGAGGAGGCAGTCTGGGATATCTTATCACTTCTCAACAAAAGATTGATCCAGGCACTAACAGGCCATGCCAAACAACAGCCAGGCCATCAAATGCTAATCAAGATGGTTAGTTGAAACATTCACACCTAGCTCCAGCAGACAAGAGTCCTTTGTACCTCCCTGGTCATTCCACAGATATATAAACCCATTTTCCTAGTTCCAACAGACCTCACTACCTCTGAGGATGCTTGCCATAGATGCAGATGAAACGTCAAGAGAGAATGCTTCTAGAACATGGCCATATAGCCCGAAAAAACCTACAACAACCCAGAGTCTATATTTTTCTCTCCGCCTAGATGGTTCAGAGGTAGCAAAAGTGACAGACAAAGCGGAAGCTGTCTATTATTAGAACTTCTTCTGTTCTTCCTCCAGTAAATCACACATTTTTTCTCACTTCACATCTGCCTAAAAGATTATTTCTGTATCTCAGCTAAAATAAATTTGAGAAAACAATTTCACTCCTTATCATTAGACTAATTTTTGACAGTCCTTTCTGACACTGGTATTTGCTCATTGAAATCCAATGATATTATATTCTATATTGCTTGTGTGATGTGTACATGTGTACAATTGCAGTGTTATTTAGCCCGTGGTAATCCTAGCTGGATCATGTCTCCATTTCATTCAAGGTTGCTCCATTTCTACCAAATGGAGTTGAAATAATCTTTGTAAATTAGAAGTGGGCAACATGTGATGCTGGTGCCATGTATGCCTTAACTTGCAACTATCTGGACTTCAACAGAGGCAAATTGTCAGTCTTTGTATGGCAGTTCACCTTTTAAATAGATTGCAGGAAAACTGCCTTTAAAAGCCAGCACTTTACTTCTTGCCCTTCTCTTTTTTCCCCATTTTATTTTGACTTTTAACATGTTTTGGCAGTTCATGCAGCTGCAAAAGGACAGAGATGTAACCCCTGGTGTTACTGCAGTCTCACTCCCCTGAAGTCCAAGTGCTATTAAATTTGATTCTGATTCATGGCAATCCTACATCAACCCTCTTCTGGTGTTTTTTGGCAAGATTTGTCAGAAGGAGTTGTCTCTGCCTTTATCTGAAGCTGAGAATATGATTGTGATGTTCATAATCCAGTAGTGTTTGAGAAATGAACTGAGAATGCCATGTAATATATTTAATTATTTTCTCTTTCTCCTCTCTTTTTTTCCAAAAGGTCTCTCTGCAGATGGGGGCACCAAGCGACAAGAGCATCTCTCTCGTTTTTCCATGCCTGATCTCAGCAAGGATTCTGGAATGAATGTGTCAGAGAAGTTGAGTAATATGGGAACATTGAATTCATCCGTCCAGTTCAGAAGTGCAGAATCTGTCCGTAGCTTGCTGTCTGCCCAACAGTACCAAGATATGGAAGCCAACCTCCATGACCTTACCAATCCAATTGGTTACAGAGACACACCGTCCCGTGGGAGGATGCATCAGAGCTTTGACTATGGTGATGCAATGCCAGGAACTAAATTGGCTGGGCAGGAGAGTGCCAGGCATCCCCCTATGAGTGAGCGAACTCCCAGACGAACTAATCTCCGAGATGATGATCGACGTTCCCGCCACCACAGGCCCCGGCGCTCCAGGCGCTCCCGCTCAGACAATGCCCTCCACCTTGCCAGTGAACAGAGCTATAAGTTGAAAGAAAGGCCCTCTCTACGAGCTCGGGAGGATTATGATCAGTTCTTACAGCAGAGAGGTTGCAGGGAAAGTGTGGAGCAGGGTGCACGAAGAAATCTTTATGGTCAGTGCCCCAGGACTGTGTCAGACCTTGCTTTGCAAAACCACTTTACTGAGCGATGGGGACCCTACTTTGCTGAATATGATTGGTGTTCTACATGTTCTTCCTCCTCTGAATCTGACAATGAAGGCTACTTCCTGGGGGAACCAATCCCTCAACCCAGTCGTCTCCAGTACGTTGCTGGTGAAGACCTGCTTCACAAATATGGTTCATACAGCATGCCTAAGTCTTCCACACTAGGTGGTCGAGGACAGTTACATAGCCGGAAAAGGCAAAAGAGCAAAAACTGTATCATAGCATAACCGTGTTTTACCCAAGCACAGTGTTGGAGAATGTAATTACTTCATCAACTTGCACTGTTGTAGGTCTTAAAGCGCTTTTTATTGTAACGAAACATCCTGGCAAGCAGGGAGCTGTAAGAAGGACATAGACACAAGGTCTATAAATAGTCATAATTGTTGGCATGGTGAATATATTTTGCACATTTTATTTTGGGGATGAGAGGGGAGGGGTCAAATTTATTTTAGCATGTAATAATTAAAAGTTTATCTCCTTCCTACAACTAGTCACCACCCACCTAATATCCAGTTCACCCATCTGTTTTTAGTTGCCATTGTTTTCGATAACCTGCAGTTAGCAAACCATGTATTCTCTCTCCTTTTCTTTTTCTTTTCTTTTCTATTTTTGCTTTCCATTTTCATCATTTTCTTTCACCATTCTTCTGCCAGATTGTAAGGAAATGTAAATTATTTCCATGATTTGTTGTGAAAAATGCAAAAGTAAGTGAGTTTGGAGAAAATATTTTTGTATTTTGTAATAATTGAGGAATGTTTATATCTTAGGAGTCACTGGGAAATCCATGCACATTCATCATTTTTGGGGGGCTGAGCTAAAGAAACAGAGCTTGAGAATCCTTACTTTATTTTATTTGCCATCAAATTTCATCTGGATCAGCAGTCTTTTACTTTCTGCATTTGCTTAAAACAAAACAAAAAAGAGCCTTTAAAACATTTAATTAGCTCTTGAGGAAGGTATGGGGTGTTCATTTTTTTTGTTACTCTATAAAACAAATACAGGCATCTATCACTGGAAATTAAATGAAAACAAGTTTTCCCTTTTTCAAATGCAGAAAAAACATAGGCCTGTGTCCATCTGCTAGTCCCAAGTAAAATAGATCTATTGAAACAATAACTGAATGGTAATTCAACATTTACCGTATATGCTCGTGAATGAGTTGACCTCATAAAAGTCGAGGGCAAGTTTTGGGTCCAAAATTATGGATTTTGGTAGTTAAATTATCTGAGAGAAAGGTTAACACTCTTTAGAGAGGGCCAAAATTACCAATGAATAAGTCAAGAGTCACTCTGAGGATGGGGGAAAGTGCCAACAATGCCCCTGGCTTCTCCTGCCAATTTAAAGGCCAGAAGTTGTGTTTTAGCAGAGAGCTGTCGTTTCTTTTTCTTTTTCCTGGGACAGACAAAGCCCTCATATTTCTCCACTCTACTCAGAGAAGGGGACTTTATGAAAAAATAGCTTTTCATTTAAAAGGAAGAAAATTCTTTACAAAACAAATTTCAAAAGTCTGTAGATCTGAATGCAGAGAAGAGGTTGCAATTGTTTGCAAAGAACAGTTCTCTATTTTGCTTCAGTTGGGATAAAGGATCACATATATTCCCCACAGTTGGATATAACAATTTTCTCCTTTGGCTTCCCATCTTTGGTGCCTTGAGCCTCCACCTTGAGCTCCCTGAGTGCCTTTTTTATAAGAGTTAAGGTACAATACATTGGCCCGTGGTTAACTTGACCCAGGTTTTTTGGGTCAATTATTTGACTAAAATTTCTAGACTTATACACAAATATATACACTACATAAATCCCATTGATTCAGTTCATCTCCTCTGGTAGGGACTGGCAGTTGGATTTGAACCCAAAATGTTACAAAGATTAAAGATCTGAGCGAGAGGTTAACACTCTTAAGAGAAGGCCAAAATCACTAAAATTTCAACTACTTTTTGGGGGGTGTAAACCAAAACAATTGTAAATGGTACAGTTGTGTGGTGTCAGCATGAACTTGTTTTGAGTATAGAATTGTTTTCTGGTGCTCTAGTTTCCTGGCATTTGTTAACTGCTATTCATTACTGAGAGGTAACTTCAACACTGCCTTCTTCTGAAATCCATAATGAAATGAATACATCCTAATCATGTCAGACATAAAGTCTACCCATGGGAGATAAATACTTCAAACCCATTACAAAGGCAGTTTGAAGGGTCTGTCCTCAGGGTAGATTGGAGTCTGTTTTTTTGGAAGTAGAACAAAACAACAAAAGCTTCAACATGGGTAGTTATATACATAGGGCTCAAAATGTATTGTGTGCTATGGTGGATGTGAGTTCTTTCTCTCTCTCTCTCCCTGTATGCTTTAAACAAGTGGGCGTTTGACATCAAGATGTGTACTATATTGTTTCCAGATGAGACAGTGGGAAAGAAGAAAATTATTTTGTTTCTGTTGTACTTTTTTACTTATAGGGCTGCAAATTGGGTGTCAATAGTCCCCAGCTAGGTAGGAGCTTGCCAACTTACAACACCTGTGTATGGTTCTCTTGAGAATTTTTAAGGATTCTATTAGAAAAATACTGTCTGTTGAAATAGATGGCAAAATGCAAATAGGTGTGAATGGGACTTTAAAAAAACAGGTACAAGGGTCCTGCCTCTTCAGTTGGACCTAAGCAGCAGCGATTATGGCCATGATCCAGCTCTGCTGCCGCCTGGCTTTGGAACAATGTATAACCCTGAGATAATGGCCAGAGTTGCTTATTGAAATGCAGCAGCATGGAAGGAAACCTCTGATACAGATGTATCCACAGCACAGTTGGGAATGTTTTTTTGTGCATAAGGAGAATGTGATAACTATGATTTTCCCCAAAAAAATAAAGAAGGAAAAAAGAAAAAAAAGATGGTGATGATGATGATGATGATGATGATGATGATGTATAGAATGAATGTCTTTTCCAGCTTGAACAGAAAATATTTTCATCAGTGGATAATGAGTGGCTATATCTTGCCAAATCATAGAATCATAGACTTGGAAGATACCTCCTGGGCCATCAGGTCCAACCTCCTACCAAGAAGCAGGAAAATCACATTCAAAGCATCCCTGACAGATGGCCATCCAACCTCTGTTTAAAAGCCTCCAAAAAAGAAGCCTCCACCACACTCCGGGACAGAGAGTTCCATTGCTGAACAGCTCCCACAGTCAGGAAGTTCTTCCTAATGTTCAGATGGAATTGCCTTTCTTGTAGTTTGAAGCCTTCTCTTCTTCAGGCTAAACAGGCCCAGCTCTTTAAGCCGCTCCTCATAGGGCTTGTTCTCCAGACCCTTGATCATTTTAGTTGCCCTCCTCTGGACACATTCCAGCCTCAACTTGGTTCAAAAGGAAAGTGTGTGAACACTCCCACCCTCTCCTTTCTTTATTATTTATTTATTTATGATATTTCTACCCTGCCTTTTTCCACCCTGGAGGGGACTCAAGGTAGCTTTAACATAGGCAACTACATTGTTTTAAGTCATTGATTAGTTGCCTATGTGTAAAGCTACCTTGAGTCCCCTCCGGGATGGAGAAAGGTGGGGTAGAAATGTCGTAAATAAATAACTGTACATTGTTTTAAAGCATTTATTACAGTTAAAATAAACATAGAATTATAAAATACATTAAGAAAAAACATTTAAACAATACATTCACAATTAATCCCATAATCCACAAACATAGTCCTTTGACCCTCCTTACTCTCTTCAGTTTACCTTAAAATTATTTACAGAATATACTTATGTATAAGTCAACCTCATGTATACGTTGGGGCAGGTTTTGGGGCCAAAATTATGAATGTTGATATAGCACATGGGCAAGTCAAGGGTTAGTCCATAAAAAGGGGAAAGCACCAGTGCCAACTCAGGGGACCAGCCATCACTGGCCACCACCACCATTTTCCCACTGACGCTTTCAAAAAGGTCAGAAGTGGCATTGACACAGCAGAGAGAGTAGAGGGGTCTCTCTGCCTCTTTCAAGTCCTCCCAGGATGGATTAAGCTCTTGCCTTTTCCCACTCTACTCAGAGAATGAGATTGCTCCTTTTAAAATAAGAGTTAAGAAACAGTGTTAACAATTATCCATTGATATATCGATCCAGGTTGTTTGGATTGATTTCTAGAATAAAATGTGAAGACTTATATTTATTTATTTATTTATTTATTTACTTTACTTATATACCGCTGTTCTCAGTCCGAAGGCGACTCACGGCGGTTTACAACAAATAAGAACAGCAGAAATTCAATGCTACAGTGTAAAGAACAGTTAACAATTGACTTAACACATTATCCATAAATTACCAATAAGCAATTACAATGCACAATTATTACGAAAAACAACCGTACCCAATCTTCTCATCATCCAAGCGTAGTCCAGGTTCGTCGTCCATTGTTCCATTCCTATGTTCCATTACCAGATTGCACTAAATTACTCAAACGCCTGCACAAACATCCAGGTCTTCACCTTTTTGCGGAATACCATTAGAGATGGTGCTAGTCTAATGTCCGTAGGAAGGGCGTTCCACAGCCGAGGAGCCACCACCGAGAAGGCCCTATCTCTCGTCCCCGCCAGCCGAGCTTGAGAAGCAGGCGGGATCGAGAGCAGGGTCTCCCCGGGAGATCTCAAACTCCTGGTGGGTTCATAGGCAGAGATGCGGTCAGATAGGTAGCTTGGGCCGGAACCGTTTAGGGCTTTATAGGCCAACGCCAGCACTTTGAATTGTGCCCGGTAGCAAATTGGCAGCCAGTGGAGCTGGCACAACAGAGGAGTTGTATGCTCCCTGAGTGCCGCTCCTGTTAGTATCATGGCTGCCGAGCGTTGAACCAGTTGAAGCTTCCGAGCGGTCTTCAAAGGCAACCCCACGTAGAGAGCATTGCTGTAGTCTAAACGGGATGTACCTAGAGTGTGGACTACCGTGGCCAAGTCAGACTTCCCAAGGTACGGGCGCAGCTGGCGCACCAAGTTTTAACTTGTGCAAAAGCTCCCCTGGCCACCACAGAAACCTGGGGTTCCAGGCTCAGCGATGAATCCAGGATCACACCCAAGCTGCGAACCTGCATCTTCAGGGGGAGTGCGGCCCCATCCAACACAGGCTGTAACCCTATGCCCTGTTCGGCCTTTGCGACTGACCAGGAGTACCTCTGTCTTGTCTGGATTCAATTTCAATTTGTTCGCCCTCATCCAGACCGTCACAGCGGCCAAGCACCGGTTCAGGACCTGGACAGCCTCCTTAGTAGCAGGTGGAAAGGAGTGACAGAGTTGGACATCATCCGCGTACAGATGACACCGTACCCCGAAACTCCGGATGATCTCCCCCAGCGGCTTCATGTAGATGTTAAACAACATGGGAGACAATATTGAGCCCTGAGGAACCCCACAAGACAATGGTTGTGGGGTTGAACAGGTGTCCCCCAACAACACCTTCTGAGATCGACCCTCCAGGAATGACCGGAGCCACTGCAAAACAGTACCTCCAAGACCCATCCCTGCGAGGCGTCCCAGAAGGATACTGTGGTCGACGGTATCGAAGGCCGCTGAGAGGTCCAGCAGCACCAACAGGGACACACTCCCCCCTGTCGAGCTCCCGGCGCAGATCATCCACTAAGGCGACCAAGACTGTCTCAGTTCCATGTCCCGGCCTGAAACCAGACTGTGCCGAATCCAGATAATCCGTGTCGTCCAAGAATACCTGGAGTTGTGAGGCCACCACATGAGTACATGTATTCTATACATGATTGGATTCATTTAAAATGAAAAATTGGGGGAAAATGAAAATGTGCTGCCCAAGTAATTCCAAGTGCTTGAGTGCAGCCCACAGTTGCCCACCCTAGCTTGTAGGAATAAGGGTTCAAATTGCCCAAATTACTCATGTGGCTTGTTACATACAATGAATGCCATATGCGTACAAAACCTCAACAATTTCATAGAAACCATAAGACTGGTTCTGAACAAAGTC